CAATGGCCTAACCGCTAAGGCATGCAAAACATAGGAGTACGCCTCCCCCCCCCCCCCCCCCCCCCCTCCGCACTCTCTGCAGGCGTACAGCACGACATCCAACGCCCCGCGCGCCCGTGCCCCTCCCCGCTTGCATGACGGAGGGGGCGGGGGCGGCGGAGGGGGGGGAGGGNGGGGGGGGGGGGGGGGGGGGGGGGGGGGGGGGGGGGGGGGGGGGGGGGGGGGAGGGGCACCGCAGAAGGAAGGGGCCAAGGGGGGCCTGGACGGGCTGCTGCTCGCCGGGAGTGAGTCTCTCTTTGGCGGCGACGGCGGCGGTAGCGGCGGCAGAGACAGGGGTTCTCTGGAGCGGAGCGTGGAGTGGAGGTCGCTGGGGCAGCGCGCGGTAGCGGTGGAGTCTTGCCTGTTCGTGCTGCAGGTGCTCAAGGCGGCAAGGCGGAGGACGACAGGTGGGGCTGCGGCGTGACTGCCTTTCGGGGGGGATGATGCTTGTGTGAAGTTTGTCTCTTTTGTTGTTGCTGCTGGGGCTGTTTTACTACCTGTTGTTGTCGTTGTTGTTCTCACGTTAAAACCGTTCCGAACCCTTTGCCCAGTACCTGCATCTGCCCGTACTAATGTATCATTCGACGCGGTCGATTCCCGTGGTCACAAGCTAACGTGGCCCAAGAATATGTGGTATACTGAAGAACAATACACGCTGTGGTTTGGATACTGTTTGTTTCTTGTGCCGGGGGGGGCATTTGTTGTAGGGTGTACGGGCAGGGTATTTGACGCAGCAGGTATGCCATGACGTGGTGATGATGATAGCACCACATTCGTGTTTCTTCCTCTCCAGTCTACCTCTCCCTCCGTCCCTCCCTCCCTCACTTGCCTCACTCCCTCCCTCCTTCCCTCTCTCTCTCGGTCTGTCTATGTCTCCTCTCTTCCCTCCCTCCTTCCCTCCCCACCCTGCACGTCCGTAAATATCGAAACCCCCAATAACACGATCGAAAAAAAATAGGCTTGGGTCTGCTGCCAGTGTCGCAGCGGGCGGCAGTGGACGCGTACGTCGCCGAGATCGAGCAGGTTACCGCGCAGCTGAGGTCCTTCGCGTACTGGGCCCAGGCCCCCGGGCTCGTCGGCGGGGAGGGGATAGCGGCGGCGGTGGAGGGCCAGTCGTGGACCCGGAAGAAAATCAGAGTGAGGGAGTGAGGGAGTGAGGGAGTGAGGGAGGGGCGGTCAGAGTTAAAGGAGCCGCTTGGACGCTTGTCTTTTCCTTGTTCGCTTACTTGTCACAAATATGCGTACATGCGTTTTTCTCACAAAGGACGCTTCGATCTCTGCGTTTGTTTCACGGCTTACGTGGACATGGGTAACGCCTCTGCGGTTTACGAGGGGGCGTTCTTAAGTAGCACGCGAAGGAATGACAAGTAGGTTGACCCCTTGGTCCCCTCGACCAAAAAAACTAGATTCATTTAACACTGCTGTAATGTGATTTGACACGGTGCGAGATTTTAGTACTTTCATTTTTCGTGTCGCT